ATCGGGGAAGAGTATATGCTAATAATGTTACTAACTCGTAAGTTAAATTTGATACAAACTTACCTCGACACACACCCCTCGCCCACTCATTTTCAATGTCCCACTTATTTAGATCTAGATTATTGCCATCAAACTCGTCGCTCCAGACTAACCGATAAAACGGTTCACTTTTACCACAATTTATTAGTAAATAAACTGCTAATAGTGTATGAAATTTCATTATTATTCACTAAAAACAGTCAAATATTTTAGGAAACAAACTAAAACACATTTTTGATCATGTTTGTATTTTCCACCATAATGCTTGTTGATTACACAATAAATATAATCAATCAAACTTTATAAATAGGGCACTTGTTTGAGCAAACTGAAATTTTATTTATAATTTATAAGAAACTATGTTTCTTATCACAAAAACTCTTGTTATCAACAAATCTCTCTCTCTCTCTCTCTCTCTCTCTCTCTCTCGTTAAGACGTTTTTAAATATAAATATTATTTTTGATTAAATTTAAAAATATCAAAATAGTCTTATGTAAGAAATTATTGCAATTTTAATTGAAAAACAATTTTACAAGGATGATGATTATGGTTAATTTATATTTTGCTATAATAATTGCAAACAAGTTTATGATTGCTATAAAAATTTAAGACAATGTACTTAATTGTGATATATGTGTGAATAAACTGATTGTATTAAGTTTACTATAAACAATACTAAAATTGTATTTATTTTAAATATTAGTAACATTTAGTATTAATTTGATTGTTTATATTGTTTTAAAAAAGTATCAATAACTATTACTGTTAATAAAGATACATATTGTTGTTTAAATGATAACTATTATTAAAGTATTAGTTAATAATGTGTAAAATGATTATAAGATTTATAATATTAGATAATAATGTAAATTTAATACAGTGTAATAAAATATTTACAATACTCAGGTTTTCTAAGGTAAATAATATACAGTATTACTTGACAAGTACATTTTATTGAATTACTACATTTAATAATAATTTACATAACATGCATAACACTATTATATTTAAAGTAATTTTCATATTTTCACGTATGCAACATCAATATACAATCAATTAAATACATACAAATAATGATCATGTTAATTTTGTAGTGCTATTGGTGATAGTTGCTCAAAGGCCTGGCAAACACCATGCTGAAATTGAAAACTATCCTAACGTCACCTTAAGAGATTGTGGTATTGGCAGACAATCAAACCTATTAAACGACAAATGCTTTAAATGGCATACAATTAACAACATGGCAGGCAATATTGAAAATGGTCGAATTGCCGACCCGGGTGAAATGCCCTGGACAGTATACATTCTACTCGACAAGCCAGACATTAATATCAAGTAATATTTATGATTGGTTTTACTATAAATTGTCTAAAGTCTAGTTACTAACTAATAGTCTAATTAATCTAGAAACTATCAGGCAACGGGCGTTATATTAAATTCCAGGTGGGTGTTAACCGCCGGTCACGTGGTCAAGTAAGTGGTGCAACAATCCATAAATATTTTACCAACATTATAAATTAAAAATCTTATTAACATGTTAAATAAAACTAAAATAACAAAAAAAATCACCATAACTAGTTGCAAAAAACGGGACGGCACAGTTTGCTGGTCGCACAACATCCGGGTCTATCCGGGACTCCAGAACGTGGCCGACATCAGCCGAGTGCGGGCCCACACGTCCCACACCTACTTTATACCGGAGAACTATGTAAAACACAAATGGGACGCGTTTGACATAGGCATGCTCAAACTGAACGAGCCCATCCAGTTCGCGAACGGCACCGGACACAGGGCAGTTAACGGTGTGTGTCTGCCACGTAAGGCAGTGTACAACCGGTACGAAGAGTACGCCGTGATGGCCGGTTTTGGTAGACTAAACAACGGGGTAAATACGGACCGTTTGCGTATGGGTTGGTCACGGCTTATGCGACCGTTCAATAATCAAACTGATAGCTGGCGAAAAGAGTTACCTGTGAAATATGACCATGGTGCAACTCTATGCGCTGTTCGTACACAACAAATGTTAAATATTAATGATATTATGCGTTAATTGTTATAATTATTATTTATCAGGGCGATTCTGGTGGCCCATTGATACAGTACGTGGACGGTGTGGCTGTACTAATTGGTATATCGAGGGGTGTGGAGCCCATTCCAACCGCTCATTGTATTGTACAGGATCCTAATAAGCGAGCATGGTTCACCAGGGTGTCGCTTAAAATTGACTGGATCATTGGCACGGTGGCTAATTTTAGCACTCCATAACATATAATGAGCTAATCATTGCACAACTAATAAGTTACACTTAAGTTATTTAGCATGTAACTTATACAAACCTAATTACTTATAAACATAAATAATTATTTTAGATAATAATTAAACGTAAACTGTTATTTCTAAAACACAAGTTAATTACAATATTATAATTAATGTAATTTTTAAAATAAAAATACAATATTATATCAAGATTATATAAACAAGTTTTTTGTATGTGAGTCAAGGATTGTATTATTTGTTATTATGGTTTATGATATCTTTTTTGCCATAGATGATTATTTAAACATTTTACTTATGATTAATAATAAGTTATTAATTATCAATAAGCATTTTTACAATTATAATTTATAAATCAATTTAAGGCTCATTCTTATTAATAGATGCTTTAGCCCCCTATTATTTAATATAATAAACTTTATAACTGTTAAATAATTTAGATTTAATTAAAATACAGATTAAAATATATTAAAATTTAATAAAATTACATAAGACTACCAAATAAAACATAATATTTGTAAACATAATAAATGAACGTACAAATAAGACATAGACACAAAAACAGTATAATATAATTTATAACAATTCATCATCATCGGCCACATCCACCGTACTATTACCACCTGATCCAGTAACGTGTCCACCCATCTGATTGTCCAGGATCAATCTCAGTCTAGTTTTTCTAAACGTATTTTTGCGTTTCACCTTCACACCATTTCTCAAGTCACTGATTTTGTAGCTGTGACAAAATTAAATGCATTAAAATTTACCTTATAAATACAATACAAATTTCATCATAGTCATACCTTATAATATACAACATCAGCGAGATAATTATCATGACAATTAGCAAGGTGTTTGCCGTCTGGTGACCACGTGTGCCATACATCCTATCACTAACTTTACTAATATTACTATTAATAGCGATACACTTGCGCTGATTTACCGACGATAGTCCGGTGCCGGTCGGACACAGACATCGGTAGCCCGTGTGTCCACCGCTGGCCAGACATAAATGGCTGCAGTTATTGTGGCGACAGTTTGTCCATACGTTGCGCACAGCCGGCGGATGTTTAGCCAACATAAACCCATTAATCCTATCCCTGTCTATAACCAGCGGTTTGTATTCAAAGTACACATCACTGCTGTTGGCTATGAATGGCATATCACCATGATTAACTTTTGCCAACACTTCGGCCTTGGTAAATCGCTCCCACAGCTCAGGCAAGCGGTATACCATGTGCTGACAGGCCAGGTATAGATCCTCGTCGACCATTTGCATCGAGTTTATTTCGCCAAAAAATGGCCGAGATTTTATATACAACTCCAATCGGTGTCCGCCAAAGTCAAGCGAATACAGCGAATGGTCAGCGATATCCACAAAATAATAGTTGCGCTCGTGATATGCTATCGTCAAATGGCTGGCCTGTATGGGCTCGTCTCGGCCGGACTTATGCCCCATAATGTACTGCAAGTGACGCTCTAAGGGATGGCGATTGTCATCGATGATCGCACTGTTGTACAGAACCCGCCGATTACTACCATCGGGGTTGGCGGTCATAATTGATGGTCGATCGCCAACATTACTCCATACCAGTCGGCCTTCCATGGCGTTGAATACTAGCGATAGTGGCCTATTGTCATCACCCTGGTCAGTTAGATTACCCACAGTGTATACCAGGTTTTTGGGGTTGTGTTCGTAGGGTAACACTTTGATGGTGGTATCGCTGGTGTCTATCCAGTAAACGAGTTTGTGATCCCAGTCTATGGCCATGTGATGGTGCTGAGCACCGGGTGGTATACGGTATCGGCGCTCCCGATTGCCCAATACATTTGTGGCCAATTTGCGGACAGTTATTTGGTTTAGGTCGGGTGTGAAATATATCATGATATTTGTCTGGATGTCAATTATGTGGACGAGTGCTGAGGTGTGATATATGTGGTGATGGGATGTGTTGTTTGTGTTTAGTATAACGTTTGGTGCGGATATGTATGCGTCCAGTGGTAGGCCTTTGGTTAGAATAAATAATTGAAAATTAGATTATGTGATAATATTTGCATAATTATCATAAATTTATATAGGTTAAAATTGTTTACAAATAGATCTACGGGTTTCCATAGAATTGTCAGTGTTTAAAATGAGACTGATAATAAATTAGAAACTGTAATAAGATAATTACGTAGAATTCATGCATATAAATAATTACTGTATATTTAAATTAATTGGCTCCAGATCTAAAGAATAGCTAAAGCAGATATTGTACAGTACTAGTTATCTGAACAAATCAGATCGTACATTTTTGTTCTTTTATCTATGATAAAAGTTATTTTCATATCATTATAGTGAACTGTAAAGTATTAATCAAGGTAGAGTTTTTGCAATTAAATATACTGTGCATAATAAAAACTGCTGGAATATAAATTGATATATTTTCTTGATCTCTCTCTCTCTCTCTCTCTCTCTCTCTCTCTCTCTCTCCACATAACAACAAAACATTACAACAAAACACTTACCCATTGACTTAGCCTTGTATTCAATCCTAAAACCACCATTATTAATGGGTTTATTAATTTTATCACTTTTAAACTTTATAAACACTTGATTGCCAGGTACTAACAAATGTACCGGGCTCAGATGGCCCACCTGTCCACTCCAAGTAGCCAAATGGCTTCGCTGGACAGGTATAACACCGCCATACGAGTGCACGTACTCGGCCTCTGTATACACGGTAACAATATCGCGACCATGTTCTGTGTTAAACTCCGGCACATCTAGTACAATGTATTTTCCAACAGGGACAGTTATATTCCACAGGCACGTTATGTTATCGGGGTAATGACCAGGGTAGTTGGGACTAAACACAGCCGTTTCCGTCTCATCCAATTGTCCGCCACAGCCTTAATAATAAATTAAGTTTAGTTTATATATATTAATTAACAATAAATAAAAATTAGCTCTATTAAAACATAGTTTAAATTGAATGCTCAATCATTGTAATAATCGTATATGAGAATGGTATAAATTGGCACAACATAAAATCGGTTTTAGGCAAAAGTACATTCACTAATAATCACGATTTGAGATTCATATTGAGTAAACACAAACTATTATACACTGGTCCAACTAACCGAGGTGACATAAACGGATTGTTAAACGATGATAAACTCAATGGTAGTATATAACGGTCTTTATCCTTCAAATGTTCCGTGTCAAAGTGTTCAAACCATATAAATATACGATCACTTTGTGCTACCTTAAGGTGCCAGTAGCAATTCAGGTTATTGTCATAGTGATCGGGGTAATTGGGACTCAACACCTCATACTCGTGCACATCCAGTGTGCGATTGCATTCTGTTTTAATACATAAACATGTTATATAATCTATTATGTATTATATAACAAATATAATTTACCAAATGGATAATGATGTGTTAAGTGATCATCTCGGTCAAAATGACCAGTTTCCCAATAATACCTGGCAGATTTCTCAGGTTTTGCGAAATTCACATCTAATCAAAAACAAAATAATTTCATTTTAAATATGCTAGGTTAATTAATTAATTATCTATAAAAATTATGTCTGTAGTGCATACGTGATTGTATGTGAAGAGTTTTGCTTGATTATTAGTGCTAAACTCTAAGTATAACTCATTTGTGTTTGATAATATGTGACCAGGTTGATTGGCTCCACTGTATTTGCCTAACAATTTGCTACTATTTGAGTTACCATCATATATTGCCAGAACATCCTTCATAAGTTCCGTGTCAAAGTGTTCAAACCATATAAATATACGATCACGTTGTGCCACCTTAATGTGCCAGTAGCATTTCAGGTTATTGTCATAGTGATCGGGGTAATTGGGACTCAACACCTCATACTCGTGCACATCCAGTGTGCGATTGCATACTGTTTTAATACATAAACATGTTATATACAGTAATCCATTATGTATTATATAACTTATATAAATTACCAAATGGATAATGATGTGTTAAGTGATCATCTGGGTCAAAATGACCAGTTTCCCAATAATACCTGGCAGATTTCTCGCCAAAACGCTTTAAGTGTAGATTAGTTTTTGTTTTATTAAAGTAAAATTTATACGATCCAATTAATTAATTAATAGATATTTTTAATACAGACATCACGTATGCACTAACATACACTTCTCAAAACGCACTATTTATAAAAGCTGACCCTGATGGAATTTGACAAAAATAAAACAAGGTGATGATTACAAATAATGTCTTGATATTAAATTTAGTAAAACACTTCATGGTAAGTTTGTGGTCAGTGGAAAATTACAGTATCATTACAAAATTCACGTGTAATTATTTAATTTTATTTACATTTATGTTTTATGCATAACATGTTATAAGACGACAACAAATCACAGATTGTTTTACATAAATATCTAATTTCATTAAATATTTTACTTAACAAATATAATCTCTAATTTGTAACGTTATAATAATTAATATAATAGATAACATCGAATAATTGCGTGTAATTTAAATAGCATTATACTCGTACTAATTATTTGTTTTTCAGGCTATTTTACGTTTAACCATTTTTTTATTCTTTGTTTTAATTTTTCGGATTTTTGTTTTTATTATTATTAATTAATTTTATAATATATTGTGTCTTAGTATTATCCAGATTCGCGTTTATCATGATCAATTATCTCGTAATCGTGATTGCGGTCATTATTCTCGTAGTCATGATCTTCGGGGAGGCGTTTCCGGGGAGGGTCCTCATCGTCAGCCCCGCCCACCCTTTTGAACGTAACCGTCGGTATAATCACTTGAAACAGGCGTTTCTCTATTGTTAACACTATTTTCTTAACACTAGAAATAAATGACAAAAATTGCCATGATTATTTGAAATTAAAAACAATTAACCTAGACCAATTATTTAGCTGTACCTGAGATATAAGCCAACGATCAGCAAAATCATAAACGCTATGACAATCGTGTTAACGATGGACAGTATGTCAACGCTATTACACGTATTCATTATCAACGGACTGACCACAGGCTCTGACGGGTCGTTCATCGGTAGCATCGGCTGATCGGGTGTCAGACAGCCATAGGACTGACCGCTGGGCACACATACGTGTCGACAACTATGACCGGAGCACCGGTTTTTGGCCACCGGTCGCTCGTTTGGATCAATTACTTGGAATTCGTATATCATATCACGTTTTGTATCCGTTGGGTTAGTGTTGTAAAACTGGTGGCCATTTTTATCATCAAGGTTTCTATCGTAGCCACTGGTGATGTATAGGAGTTCCGCTTCTGATACACCCATTGCCGGTTCCCTTATCCGGTATATCACGTGATCGGTGGCTAAATACAGGTCATTGTCAAAGACAGTCATCCCGAGTACTGCCGACGACAACAACGGCCTCGAAGTCATGTAATAAATCTCATGTCCGCCCAAGAAGTCCACCGAATACAAGGAACTGTCGGTTATGTCGACAAAATAATACCGTTGCTGTCGGTAGTCAACAGTCAGATGAAACGGTTGTCTGTGTTTAGGGTTGGCGTAAATCGCTGTGCGATTAGTGCTGTCCAATCGGGACTCCCAGAGCCCGGCGTTAAACCCTATTTCACACCATACGAGTACTTCACTCGCGGTGTTTATGCGCAAATCACGAGCAAAGCCGGTGTTTAGCTGGAGTATGGTGTAGATTAGATGCGGGTAGTTTATGTCCATCATGTTTATGCTATTGGCCACGCTATCGATCCAATAGATTAGCCCATAATTAACCAGGTAGGCTATGTTATGTGCTGGGGCGTTTATGTTTGCCCGTCTCTCTATCAGGTCTGATAGTAATATTTAAATTATATTTTACTAATAAAAAAATTATAACAAATGTGATAATATTTAAAAACTAAAAGTATAATTACAGTCAATGATTGGGTAGTAATTGTATGAATGATAGGATATGGTGTCAACGGATTGATTGTCGTTAGTTATCACAATAGCATTTGTGGCCGATATTATCAGTGGGGGTCCAATACCTAAAAATTTTAATAATTAATTATTTTGTAATATTTGAGAGAGAGAGAGAGAGAGAGAGAGAGAGAGAGATTATATAATAATATTTAAATTTGTTACATTCTACATTAATTACTTACATTTCCATAAAAATTCATTCATATAACTTATTTAGTTATAACAACTTTAACTTATTTAATGTTTTACAGTCTTATTGAAGTATTGTCAAAATATGTGACAATGTAATATATCTAATTTAATTAGAATATTGTGTAAAAATGTCATAACGGTATTTAATTTCTCATTAATAATCTTATCTATAGCAAAGTAATTTATTTGCAATTTTTTAATGTTTGAGCAAAAAAAATCTAATATTAAAATTGGTATTGTTAAGTTGTCATTAATATATTTTTGTGTGTATCTATCATAGTATATAATTAAAACAACTTTACGTAAAATAGTACTTTTGCATTTATACTTTACCTGAAATCTTACCTTATTATATAAATATTTTCATTCATTAAAAACATTTGATGTTAAAAAATATTATATATGAAAATTATTGATTATATATGTACCTCTAATGAAAATGTATAAAACACTAATATGCATACAATTGTAGCGAGATTAATTATTTACAGTTTTCAAACATGTATGAAAGAGAGAGAGAGAGAGAGAGAGAGAGATGAAATTATTATTCCATACATACCCATCAACTTTGATTTATAAGAGATGCTGAAGTGTCGACTAAAACACTGATAGCCCGAAGTGTACTTAATTAGTAGCTTATTATCACGTATAATCATATTATCAGGCACAGTTTTGCCACTGAAATTGGCCAAAATATTGCTGTTATTTATATCCGGCGGTTGGTGCAAGGTCAAATTGCATATTGCATGGTGGCCGTCCATGTTGAAATCATTAAATGATAGGTAAATGACCATATTGCCTGGTACCAATATATTCCATACACACGTAATATTATCAAAACTATCAGGGTAACCGGGCGAGTATATCACACTTTCATTGGCTGTAAATTCACCACCACAACCTATTTACAAATCAAAAATAATTTTATATTATAAATAATCTAAATAATATTTTTAATAAACTACAATAATAATAATTCAATTATTTAAATAATTTATTGTTTAATTACCATATTTCACTATTTCATAAGTTATGTTAAAGCCCTTTCGTGGTTGACCCGTATTAAACACCAAATGCAATTGATTTGAGCTTGATATTAAATGGCGAGGGTACTTTTTATTGCTGAATGCGCCCAATAATGGGCTCAAAACCGTCGGCCCGTTGTATACTTTTAGATAATCGCTTTCAAACGTGTAAAAATCATTAAAACTGAGCTTGATGCTATTGTTATGACTGACAGTTATAGTCCATTCGCACAATTTGTTGGCCGGGTATGAGTTGGGATAGTTTGGCGTTGCGATAACGCCCTTGTCCTGGGCATATGTACCCACACATTCACTGTCATTATCTTGGTAAATAATTAATTAAAATATTGTTAATTATATTTTTAATTATACTGAATTAAATACAGTATTATAACTTATTTATTTATTATTAATTAAATTTTTAATAAAATAATAAACTGTAATTTATTTTTATTAAAAATATTATAATAAAGATACTAAAAATACTAAAAAAAATTAATCAGTATAAATTGTATGTCTATACAAAATTAAAATATGTCGTTGTCAGATCTATCCAAAAATATTATCATATAAATAAACTTTTATACAAAACTAAACTGCTTCATTTATTCATTTACAGTTTATACCTATTGTATAAATGGTTTTAATTAAGTTAAATAGTTACTAAATTAGCAATTACATTTTAATATTAACATTATTTAATTATATAAATTAATATTTCTTGAACATTTAGAACACTTAATAAAATTAATTAATCTAAAATAACAAGTAACTTACTTTGTTCATTTATCACTGGACATACGGCTAGCGATAATAACAACAGTGTTATATAAATCACAGTAAAATTCCAACAAAATATAAAAATATTAAACATTGTAATAATAATATGTAAAAATCAAAACATTTAATTAAAACACCCATATACTAATTGCAAAATATCAATAGATATAAAACATTAATGTGAAAAATACTGTCCCAAACAAAAACCTTGAACAGTTTGGACCCCTTTAACAACACTATGTATTCAGTTTTCATCGAGTGTTGAGAAAAATTTATTATTTATTTTATGTTTTATTAAAAGGAGTAATACTTTTAAGAAATCGCTGGTATTTATCGCACGTATAATAAATATCTGATTCATTACAACACTATTTGTTGTACATTTACTATGGTACATTATATAAACATTACAGAGTTTTATAGTGTACTGACACAAGTTATCGATTGGGTTTTAGTGAACTTTTCTTTTATTCTTGCTGTTCATTATATAAATATAACATTTTAAACAAACTTTGTCATTTATGTAATTAATTTGTAATTTTGTTCAAGTTTTAGTTTAACATGGTTTACATTTTCAATACTAACACTTTAATAGTTAATTTATTTTAGTTATACTATTAAATATACACATGTCTAATGAGGGGTATTTTTGTTGTTTCTTTGTATTTGTGAATGTCAAATAAGTTTAGAGAGAGAGAGAGAGAGAGAGAGAGAGAGAGAGAGAGAGATGTGCTGTAAAATAAACATATGATAAAAATAAAGTTTTTCTCTTTAAAACCAGATTTAAAATAAACAGATATTAATCGCTGTCTATATTACAGACCGGAAACAGCAATACTTATACATAAAATATAAATAATAACTTATACTGTGTTAAATTTAATACTTTACATTTATTTAATTTAGTAAACTGATTAATTACAAATATCAACGCGATTAACCATTGTGTTTTAGCATATAATAAATATATTTTATATTGGTTTTTTAAATACTATTATTTTGTTTTAAACAATTAATTATCGGAGCAAATCTGAATTATAATCATATACGTTATTATATCTATATTATTATATTTATTAAAGATAGTAATATTAGTAATATTATTCATATCTGAGATACAATGGCAACACAACATTTACGTCCAATTAAAACATGTCCTAACTCATCCGTGATACAGATTGCTAACGCCCAATTGTTATATTTTTACCAGAACCATTATTAATATCATCATAAATATATTTAGCGAGGTGGCTTTTAATGAATTTGAGCCAATTGAACCAGGGCACGTACGCTTACACTCAGCGTAACTACCGAATCTATTCTTGTTACCGTGACAACCTCCATATACGAACTCGGTGCATTCGTTTTTACTTGCATCGTAATAATACCTAGGCATATAAGCCAAACAAGTTCCCGACACCATTGGCAGCTCGCAAATATCTACCAAAATTAATAATATAAATTACTGTACTTTTATGTTATATACACTATATTTGCAATTATTTTAATTAATAAAAAAATATTTTAAAACTAAACAAAATTTACCAAAATCTTTTCAACAAAATATAACAGTTCGCGATCCTGACAACTATTTACCATAATTATTGCTAAACTTATCCAAAGTTTGGATTCCAAACATCTCATTATTTAGACAAATTCAATAGGAACAATTTATCTTTGGCCTATTTCTAGGTTTGCATTATTAATAGCAGTTTACTCTGGTCATAATTTAAACATAAATATTAAATTTAATTAATTTGCTTGCCTCACCTTGCTCACTTATTACTGGAGTAACCATTAAAGATAACAAGGTTATATAACTCATCACAATATAACAATAAGATGATTTAAACATTGTAGTAATAATCAATAAATAACTCAAAACATTCAATTCTTGTTAAAAATTATTAAATATTTAATGGTGTACATTTGTTATAGACATGGCAATACCGATAAATGAATACATAATGTAAATAAAACATTAATGTAAAAGCAAAACCTTAAACAGTTTAGACCCTTAGTCACGCACAACAATATTATTTATATATAATATTAATTGCTTGAATAACTAGAGATCGAAAGCTTATGGATACTAATTCAGTATAACGTGGCTTTTAGTTAAACACAATTATATTTATTAAAACTAAACTTTTACAATAATTGGCAATTAGTCTACAACAGATTTTCAATCGATAATAAATACATGTTAATCAATGGCTTATATATATACATGTATATAGGAAGTACAATTATAAACAATTCAGTAAAGTTAAAACGTCCTAGAATAATTTCCTAACAATTGTCACAGGATTGTAATACTGGATTCAATCCAACAATAACTCAAAATATTCTAGTTAATTTTTGAAAACTTTGTATATAAACATAAATTTGTTTACACTTCAATTTCTGCTCTCTACAATAATATATAAATAATAATAACTTATTATTAAATTAAAAAATTTGATTATTTTTCAAGTGTTGAGAATATCAATATACTCAAATAAGTTGTAGTTAAAAATTTATTGATATACTTAAACATATGATAATATATTTTTACTTTTTAACAACATTTAGACGTTTTCTATAAAGTAGATTAAACCATGAATCTATATGGAGACTTGAGTGTAATATACTTGAAATAATTTATTGTATTTACAGAATATATAGGAACAAATATTCATAATTAAAGTACCACTCAAAATTTTCGAGGTGTCTCTCGAAAACCTTTTTGCGTATAATTTTTGAATTAATTAAAATTATGACAAGTTACAACTTAGTTATTGCTGGGAAACAGCAATATTTAAACAAAAGCATTATAATTTATAAAGCATTAATAACAGCATTGATCGTGATAAAGTTAATACTTTAATATTTATTTAAGCTAAAAAAATTAATTAATTACAAATTTCGACACAATTTATTCACATGATTTATCATCATGTTTTGGTACATAATAAATATAATCAGAAACCTCAAGATCATTTGTAATCCTATGCCTTAGCCTGAAATAATAATAAGCTATTAACGCGGCTATAATCACCATAAACAACATGGTAAATATGGACAGTACTGATACGGCAATAACCAAGTTAGTTGTATTATTATCTGGGTTATTATCAGAATTATTATTAATATACTCAGGGCCGGGCCTTTCAATGAACTCCCAATTAAACTCTTGGTACGAAACGTTATTATTATGGTCGTTTTTGTAGTCGGGTATGTACCAGCTGATTGAGCCAAACTTATACTCGCCGGGTAAATTGCAACTAATAAATCCATAGTTATACTCTCCATTTGGGCTTTCACCTCCATCTTGGTTAAATATAATTTTATAAATAGTATTAAAACAAATTAGCTATTGTTGAAATTAATATCAGTTTAAACAAGAGGCTATTTTTATAGAACTATTAACAAACAGTTAATTATCAAGTTTTTAAATTATAAAATATAATATGTAACATAATCTAGCTCACTAAAATAACTTACGACAGTCCTTATTATAAATATAGTAATCATATTCAAACGATTTGCCAATTTTAACCAAGTGAGATTGAAAATGGTGGTTCATTTTATAATAATCATTATCCACCTTGGTCAACGTATGGTATATACGCGGGTCATTTGTGTCCAACGGCACCGGAATTGTAGAGTTGGGTCCAAACCATACCAAAAACCGGTGTGTTTTAACATTTCTAATGGCATAATACCTATTGGTCATTATTGGCAAAGGCTCATGGGTGTTTTTATCATAAACAGGCTCGTGGTCAATCCTGATCGTTGTGGCCAGAGTTAGTTTTACTGTTAGAACACAAGTCACTATACATAGTAAATTAAAAACAGACATGGTGTTTGATGCGTACAATTAATCATATAAAATTAATTTAATTATTAGTTACTCTATGTCTAATAGTGTTGTGTTTAGTCTTATTTTGGTTATCAATTGGTTTTTAATATAAATATTGATAATTTATTATTTATAACTGGCGTGTATTTCAATCAATTAAACATGAAGGTCGTGTTACATAAAAAGGTAGCTTAACATGATCGCATTACCAGGTTTATTGTTTAAGAATAAGTTTACTAGAATTACATTATGGTATAAATATATTAAGTTACTTTATATTATAAGTTAACACTTTGTAAAACAAATAAAAGTTTAATATTACATGTAATTATTATGTTACTATCAGATAAAATTTATAGCAAACTATTAGTTTTATAAATATACCACATATTAAGCATAATACAAATTAAAAAAACTACATAAGTTATTATACCATAAAATTTTTATAAAGAGTTAGTAAATAAATATAACATAACAATAGAAATTTTAAATTGTTGTATTTCTACATTTCCTATTTTGGTATAATGTTGCAAATCTAAATATTAATAATAGTAGTATAAAATGTTTAAATGTAACATAACAAACGTATTAAACACACCGTATATTAATTAATGTTGATCAAGATTATTATTATAACGGGATGCCAATTGGTTTGTCGCTAAAAATAATAAAATTAAATTAAATGTTGAACTAATTATAAAAAAATAGTATGTTATATTTCAACCAGAATAAATTTCCAGATATTCAGGGTCTTTTGTCTCGCCAAGCGTTTGGTAATAATTTTGTTCTTGGTAATTGTTACATCTTAATCGTTTACGTTGTGCATAGAATAGCCCAATAAACACATTCAATGCGACCAACAGGACTACTACAGCAACCACCAGGGCGTATATCATGATCGTTTTATAATCAATTGCATGTATACCAGACTCAGGCAGACCTGTCGTAAACATAGTCTCGGATTTGGTTGTAGACCAGGTCTCAGACCCAGTTGTAGACTCGGTTTCAGTTTGATTCGAGTAAATAACTTGAAATTTCCATTTATATCTATCAAAGTTTACGTACCCTTTAAAGGGTACGCAAGTCATGTGACCATCAGTGCCCAGTCTATTGGGTTTGTCGCCTCTGTCTATAAATATAATGATGGTAAAATTGAATAAAGTTGTAGAAAATGCACTAGGTTTTAATTAATTAATACATCTCTACTTAGTTCTTAACGCTAAATAAAAATAAATATTATTATTATTTTATTTAATTGACTAGAAATTAATTTTAATAAAATTTATGTATTGTATATTTAAGCTATGAACAAATTAACCATGGATTGCTAGAAGTGTTGTAAAATAGTAAACTCCTACTTACAACAAAGTTTATTATAAATATAATGATAATTATTATCGGGCACCCGGGACAGCATTACATCGTGGCTCTCGGTGAAATGATTCATTCTATACCAGCTGTTATTGGGCTTGGTAAATACGTGATAAGTATGGCTCATATCAGGCACCTGTACCCCTGGCACAGTAGTGTTGGCACCAAACCATAGTAAATAATCGCCAGTGTATACGTTCTGAACCGTATAATGTGTGTTGGTCATTATTGATAGATTCTTGTGTGTAAATTTGTCAATAAGTGGCTCAGTATTTTGGCCGTACGACCATTGTAAATTTAAGATAAGTAGAATAATTTGTGTATTTAATATTAAGATCATTGCTATAAATCTTGAATTACATTTAATGCATGACAAATAAATGTGAAATAAAAATTATTGCTAATTTTAAACATTAAGCTTATTTGGAATATAAAACTCATTTTTTATGGCATTAGGAATATATAAAAATCCGGAATACTAAACATGTACTGTAAGGTCTATATAATGCTTTTACCATCCAGCAAACTAAAATGTAAGTTTAATTAATTTATAAATTATACTGTGCAATTTGTAATTGGCAAGTTTACCTTATATAGTAGTATATGGCAAAATATAAGCGCAAATAATTTAATAGAATTGTAATATAAAAGTAATTAACTATTATAAAGCATATAAAGCATTTATAAATTAATTACATATAAAGCAAATGAAAATGGTTATGATTTTAAAAATTATAATTTTGAGTTTTAGTTTTAGTTTTGTTTTGGGTTTAGTTTTGGTTTTTGTTTTGTTTTGCAAATATAGTCGGATTTGTATATTTTTTGGAACGTGAATGAATTTTATAAACTAAATATAAATAAATATGGTAAATATGATAGATATAAAGTATATTAATAATGAAAATTAATAAAAATATACAAGTAAGTGAAGGGATAATTAGGTTTTTATTAAATAAAACAAATGAAATAAAATAATAGATAGAATTAAAAAAATAATGTGTAATATCATTATAAAATATTGACTACATTAATTAATGTTTATAAGTACAACTACTTTACCATTTATTATTTATCAAATTATCATTTTTAAATCGATAAAGAAATTATTATAACGATTATGTGTTTAATATGAAATTAACAAATTAATATCATTATTAACGTGGCGATGGTAATCTTGGTGCTAATTGTAATAAAAAAATATGTAAAATAACAAAATATAATTACTTGTTAATAGAATATATTGATCTTACATTCGCTATATATTTCCAAATAATCAGGATCATTTTTCTCAAAGGGCGTTGAATAATAATTTTGATCATGATTGTTGTTATTTAATGGCAGCTTCCGTTTGCCGACGTATAGTACAATAAATACAATTAATGCAATTAATAGTAACACTATAATAGGTACCAAAACATAAAACATGATAATTTTATAATAGTTGTTAGTTTTTGTGCTATCGGTGATTTTTTGCTCAGTTGTAGTTTTAAGTGTCTCGGTGATTTGTCGAGCAGTTGTAGTTTTAGTTATCTCGGTGACTATTTCTTGATCATCTGTCTGCGGTTCGGAATGATTATGGTATTTAATTATAAATTCCCATTTTAACCTATCAGGATGTATTTGTTCGTCAGTTTTTAGACATGATAAATAACCATCCGGATTCTCTCTATTGGGATTATCACCATCGTCTACAAGAATAATCATGGCACATTTTGGAGTTAATTTTTAACTGGGGTTTAATTTTACAATAATTAATTTTTAATATTAATATAAAAATATTGTGTGTTTTATTATTTAATAAAATTTTATTACTTCATATATCTAACTTCATTGGTAATTTACTAATTGCCCTAACAATAAAATTCAGTGACCATGATCAAACTTTCATAAAAATATATAAATACTTACCGCAATCTTTATTATAAATGAGATAGTAATTAGTATCGGGCAATCGCGATAGCTGAACTTCATGTTTGCTGGTGTAATGATACATTGTATACCACATATCTTTATCTTTAATCTTGATAAACACATGATAAGCGACATTTATGTCGGTCAATTTGGTCAATGGAATTGAATCATTGGGCGAATACCATAATAAATAATCGCCGTAATATACATTACGGATTGTATAACGGGTGTTGGTCAATATGGATAATTTCTGATGGGTCAGTTTGTCAATTATTGGTTTGGCGAGTTTTCCGTATAACCATGGTAAATTTAAAATAATCAACGCGATTAATAAATGAAAACTATAATGTATATTTAAATGTCTTATCAATATCATTGTAACAATTATTAAAATTTAATTTTACTGTCAATTAAAGTTTGCAATATTTATTTGTAATAC